GTATGGCGTCTAAATAGACCTGATTGATGCTCCACTAAACGGTGTGATTAGATTGCAAACCTCCACAGATGTCTGTGTAATTCTGTCCATGTTCAGGATGGCACTTGAGTTCTCGCGGCCAGTTTGGGAAAAATTCAACGCGATTTTGACCGGCGACAGCGTGTCTTTCACACATTTCTGCAACACAAAAGGCAGAAGGCTCATCTCAGATGTGATGAAAGCAGAAACCTTTAATGCTTAGACCTTTACATCTTTAAAGAATTCGTCTTCCTACTGGCATGTAGATGGAATGGTTGAAGCAGGCCGTTTCAGTATCCTTCACATGGATGTTGGATTTTAAATTCCTGCTCTTCCTGTTTGTTGGAATGAAGAAACCTCGATGAGTTCCTCTCAATGGATCCACGTTCAGTGAGTATGAGATGTTCAGTCCAAAGCCGGCCGTCCCTAAAGAGGCGTGCAGCGGGGTTAAAATGACAGACGCCGGCTGTAACTGTCGCAGAGGTAAGATGTTTATTTGTTCATAATTTATATTGTTTTATTTGTAAATACTGAATGTGTAATTTGATTATTGTTATACCGACATCTGTTGATGGACTACAGGTAAAGAGATGCAACAAGAGCCAGGAAAAGGGTTATTCTGGGACTTTAAAATCTAAAATATGGACAATAACATCTCCTGAATGTTTGGTCAGAAGACTCACACGGTATGTTTACGTATTTTATTCTATGTAAGAACTTTATTTTGGTTATAAATGTTCATTAGCTAACACCGTCTATATTGAATATACTTTATTGATCTCCAGGGAGAAATTGATTATATCTGTACCTGAGCGGCTCTTTGTGGCCTCTTTCATTTCGAAGCAGGCTGATAAGGTGACCATGGGTAGATTCACATCGTTGCTGAGCAGACAGTCGATTTCCTCAGAGTTTATCTCCTCAGGATGGAAGGACAGGCGAGCCGTAACATTGTACACAGGCTTGGATCTGAAAAACATCAATTAACACTGTTTAAGGTCTCTAATTATCAGAGGACAGATATAAAAAGAAATCCAGTTTCGATGTGATTTAAAAAGGCAAATAGTGTCTTTAAAGCTAAAAAGAAGCCAAAATAAGACCTGTGGACTGTAAATCTTTGCAGGACCTCAAAGTTTGAAAAAGAGGATCTCCAAACACATTAAAGGGAAAGTTTCCATACCTTAAGACAACAGCAGCACCCTGTGAACCCACAACAACATCTGGGAGCCCGTCGTCACCGAGGTCCATCCGTCCATCGATGGCCTGGCCAAAGAACCTCATTCCAACTGGGATCAGGTCTCCAGAGATTTTCTAGATCACACATGTGGAGACAAAGGCTGCATGTTGAGTTTAGGAGACTGTTTTGTTTGTTTGTAGCCAATGGGAGACCATAACTGAGTCAATGAAGGGATCCAGGAAGCCATTTTCTACATTTCGCCGGTTTGACGAGGGAAGAACTTTAGCTCATTGGTGCTTAAACAGTTAAGCTGGAAGGAGGAAGATTCCCAGATGTTGGACTTTAGGTGATTGAATGCTGCCTTTATCACAAAACGATGACACGATGCCACCAAGACACCAGCAAACACCCTCAACTGTCTGTTGGGCCTTATCTGATCATTATGTTTTGTTCCATTAGAGAGACTTGAGGAAGTCCAGTTTTGGGACCAAAAATAATAAATATAATGAGGAGATGGTGACAACAAATCTGGTTTTAAAACTATGAAAGTGGAGCATTAGATATAAACGACATCAGAAACCCTGAAATGGTCATTTAGAAAACAGCACAACACAAAAACAGAAGCAATGAGCGAGTACTGAGAGCAGCTGCTGGTTTAGCAGCTGTTTGTGTGGATAGAAAGTTACCGCTTTGAGGTTTTGTTGAGTTCTGACCAAATATCCAGCCGGGTGGAAAAAACAAATGGAGGCTGCTCTCAGTGCATTTGATTAGTTACCTCGAGGTCCAGACACTTGGCCTTCTGCCTTTCCCAAAGCTAAAGGATCCTGAGTGGCACATAAAGACAGAGGCCTGAGTCTGCTCACCTGGCTGTGGGAGCTGCGTATCCCTTTGTGCACGTCTCCATGGTAGATGTACACTGCCCCCCGGTTGTCGTCCTCCAGAGGGGCTCCAACCGCAACTTCTCTGAGTCCGTCTCCATTTAGATCTGCCAGGCTGGAAATGGTGGAGCCGAATCGACCCCTAAACGGCGCCATCACGCTTTGTTTTTCAAGCAGTTGGATCTATGAACAACAGATTAATAAACCACATGTAGACCGAATGACCTGTTTAATCCTCATCACACCCACATTGTCATTTAGATTGTAGACGTAGAGTTTTCCTTCTTTCTCCCGAGTCTGGAAAAACATTGGAGCTCCCACCAACAGGAAGTCTGTGATACCGTCTGAGTTAACATCCAGGGAGCAGAGCTCTGCCCCAAAGTAGGAGCCAATCTGAAACACACAGATTAAACATTCAGGTTCACTCAAATAATTGAAGCTTTTAGTCAAATCTCCTCGTTAAGAAGCCACTTTGCATCAAACCTTCTTGGCCTCAGAATGGAAACAAGATTTGGTAAAATTTCAGTTTAAAACTTGATGTTTAATTTATTTTTTCTATTTTACTGAAGGTGGTTACTGACCTGGTCCCCATTGATTCTCTGAGCTAGTTTCCACTTGTTTTTCTCATGCTGGAAAAGTACAACCTGTCCAGTGTGATTGAAGCGCGGTGCACCCGTCATGTACACCCGAGTGTGGTTCCTCTCTCCAACGGATATCGAGTATCCTGAAACAGTTGGTCAGGCAACATACTGAGCTCACTCACAAGACAAAACTAGTAGAAATGATAAACTCTGATCCATGAACTCAGGTTGTCAATTACAGGGAAGATATCACAATTTTCTGAATGTAATCATTTAGCATATATCATTCAAAATTAGCTCATTTTCAATTTGATGGCAGTAACATGGCAGAAAAGTTGGGATTGGAGGAAAAAAATGCAAGAAAAGAAACAAAAAAAACATGATGGAGCAGGTTGAAACAAATTAGGTTACATGGGAAGGGGTCATTAACATGATTAAGAGAACCTGAGAGAGGGAGATCCTGTCAGAAGTGAGAATGGGTAGAATGAGACAATCTGCAAAAAAAAATGAATTTGCATATTTTGGAGAAGTTTGAATATTATATCCCTTGATTTCAAAGTAACAAGGCTCAAAATGTTCATTGTCTAACGGATCGAAATGGTTGAAAGGAGACATCTCTGAAGCTGTAAACCAGCTTGCACATCTGAAAAGTAACCACCAATACAAGCTTTCTGATGGTATGAGTCATCCTACCAATGAAGTTATGATGCCGTTTACTGTTAACTCTGCGGTTTAAGGCGATGACACGCGTCCTCTCAGGGTGTAAGTGAGGCCTCGTTAAATGGAAACTTTGGCAGTAACACAAAGAGGTGTTGCTTGCTACAGCTCCATGGAGATGGGGATTTTGAAAGCCAGGACCTTGTGGAAGTTTTGGGCGGAAGATGATGGTGGGCATGGCCGTTCCTGGTGGAGGTCAGCTGCCTGGTAGGTATGGAGAATGCCCCTAACCCCGGGAATAACAGGGAATAGGAGAAAGACCATTGACCAAACCAGGATCATGTCTGGAAAGGGGTGGTGAGATCCAGGACTACCCCAGGAGGGAAGCTCTAAGCTCCAGAGTCAACCAAAGACTTCACAAACAGGGGAGTACCAGCACCTCAGCGCAGAAGGAGAATATGAGTAAGGCCTCATAGATCTGATGAGTAAACATCAAGAATATCTTGACAGACTCTGAGGAATTGAAAACACAGCATGATTCACCAAAGACCCTTTCAGATTGTCAAGGAAACTACTAAATCCAGAATTTGAGTAGTTTCAGTGGAAGTCAGCTGCCTGGTAGGTATGGAGAAGGCCCCCAGCCCCGGGAATTACAGGGAATAGGAGAAGGACAGCAGTGTACCCTTTACCAAACCAGGATCATGTCTGGAAAGGGGTGGTGAGATGCAGGACTACCCCAGGAGGGAAGCTCTCAGCACCAGAGCCAACCAAAGACCTGATCCTTCAGCTCTAATGGCTCAGGAGGATAAACAGCAGGGACTGGGACCAGTTGGGCAAACTTCCAAAACAGGGGAGTACCAGCACCTCAGCCAAGAAGGAGGAAATGAGGAAGGCATCGTAGATCTGATGAGTAAACCTCAAGAATATCTTGACAGACTCTGAATCATTGAAAGCACAGCATGGTGCACCAAAGACCTTTTCAGATTGTCAAGGAAACTACTAAATCCAGAATTCGAGTAGTTTCAGTGGAGTTGTGGATGCAAAGTTTATGAAAACTCACTTAAGGCATTTGCAAGAAAACCTGGCCTTTGGATGCTAACACAACACTGACAGGACTGAAAAACAGCAAAAGAGCCAGACATCGATTAACTTTATAGGAAAGAAAGTCAAGATGTGGTTAAACAGGAAAGAACTGGGTCACACCTCAGCTATGGCAGAATATCTAAAAGATATTTAAGTACAGAGCTCCTCCAGGGGGAAAAGATGCTATTCCAAATGATCTGGAAGACAGGGGATCTTCCCATCATGGTAGACTACAATGATGTCATAACACACAGAATAAAAGGTGGGACCTCCAGTTTTTTGGATGCCTGAAACACCTCGGACTTCCCAGTCTGGTGACCAGGGACCCAGCCTGACATTTGGAAGAACCAGGACCCCATGCCCCATCTAGGGCTTCCTTGTGGGCAACTGGGGGTTCAGTGTCTTGGCCAAAGGCAACTTGACATGTTGCAAAGCACAGATCTGGCGGATCTTAAGCAGCTTGAATCCTCATCCAGACCAGTTTGCTGATCAACCAGTGGCCTCAGTTTAGTTTACAGACCATCATTAAAACAGGAGATGCAGCACAGTGGTAAACTTGGACCATCACTAACCTTTCTGAGATAGTCCCCCGCCAACACATTCAAGAAGAGTTCATATTCTCCACATTTTCATCGTAAAAAGGTCTTACTTTAAATCTTTCGGCATAAAATCTTTGATATAGAATTCATCTGGTGGAGACTCGGTTGATGAGCTTACCCATGTACGAATCCATCGGCATTTCTGGATCCGAAATCTCATCGTTTTGATGACTTTGCTCTTGCAGAGAACCACGCCAGCTGTTGGATCCCACAGAACCCAGAACCAAGGTGTCCTGCCAACAGAGATGTACAGTAACGAAGTAGAACTACTTAAGGACTGTAATTAAGTACCAAAATGCATAGCTGTACTTTATTGGAGTATTTATTTTTTTCCCTACTTTTACTTTTACTCCACTACATCTTTTGGAATAATTTACTACTTTTACTCCGATCGATTTTTCACCGGCTGAATCAGTCAAATTTCTGTTTTTGTTGAGTAGCAATTTTTGAAATACTTCTACTTGTAATACTTAAGTACAAAAAAACATTTTAGTATCCGTACTTCCACTTAAGTCTGGTGTTGAAAGAATATTTCTACTTTTACTCAAGTACATTTATTTATATAGTACTTGTACTTATACTCCCGTACTTTCTACATCTCTGCCTACCAACAGAAGCATCCAATCAGGACACGGACACATATCGTTCAATATAAATTACTCCTCACATCCCAAAACCTTATGAGTCACCATTTAAAGCAGAATATACAGACTTTACATCCTGAAGTTCAAGGAGTTGATTGTTTCAGTCATTTTCGTCTAGATCCTCCAACCACTGACTACCAAAGAGGGAAAGTTCTTCCTGTTTGAGGCTTTTATAAAGACGGTCTTTAGAAATTGTCAGAAGGGAGTCTTTTGGTGTCCCCTTTCTTTCCTGTTGGCTTCTTAAAGCCCAAACCCTCAGGGTGCAATGGGGGACACTTGTAGATTTTGGCGTCTCTAACCTTGTGGAAGGCGGCACTGAATCCACTCTGGGCCATTTCCTTAGTCAGCGTTCCAGCCCGAATCCCTTTGGTCCCTAAACATGGGAGAAGAGGATCAGTGTTACAGTTTCAGGGGTGCATCAGGAGAAATAAACCAATCATGAACACATTAATGACCCCATGAAGAAGAAGATACCACCTTCAATCGAAAAGATCCTGTTTTGGAAATTTTCCAGAATTCCTTCAAGCCCCTGATAATTCTTGATTTCAAAGACGTGTTTTTCTTTCGGATCTGAACCAAAGCTTTTATATTTTTTCATCCCAGCTTCTTTTTCAACCTGAAACCAGAAACTTGGATCATATCATTCAAGTCTGACATCATAATTACAAAGAGAACTGGGATCAGCCCAGGATGCTTTTCCTAAACTAAGCTAAGGTTAGCTTAGCTTATTTTAGCTTAGCTTATCTTCGCAGACACAATCACAGACATTGCTGTGGGCTTTTCTGATCAATCATTGTGCTCCGATTGGTCAGCTGCAGGGCTCTTTAAGCCACCGTGCACCGTTCTGCACCATCTCTGCAGAATTTAAGGAACTGGGCTGCGTTTTCTCACTTTCACAAGCTACAGGATGAGTCAGCAAAGTGGTTCATTTCCCTTTTATGTCAAACCTTTCGGTCAAATGGACAAAGTGTTGTGAAGTATTGCAGCTCACCCCAATAACAAACCGATCTATGTTCTTTTTATCGTAGGTTTCGATGATATTCTCATAATTTGTGTCGCTTGGATCTCCATCTGTGATGATGACCAGAACTTTATCTGCATCAGCAGAGGCGCCAGCAGCTGGGTTTTCAAACAGATTGTCCCTGAAACACAAGTAGGTTTTGCATTAGGGATGCTCAGTTTATAGATTAAGTTTAAAGCTTAATCTATAGACAGAGACCTGAACTCGTGTTTGACACAGAGCTGAACTTACAACACAAATTTCAGGCCTCTGTGTGTGTTGGTCAGACTATCCATGTGAGGTTCTTTCCAAAGTTTCTCCAGAGCAGTTCCTTTTGTGTAATCGTTAAAGTCAAAAACTGTCCGGATAGCAAAGGCGAACTGAGCTGCTGCAAACTGAGGACAGAAACAACAATATTTCACCATTTAACAGCATGTCGTCCGTCATGTTGTCTCAGATTAACTGATCTGACAGTTAATTACCTTAATTGATGTGTTTTTAAGGCTGTTCATTATTTTTTCAATGAATTTCTTATTCTCTTGAAACTCTTCTTTTGTCATGCTCCGCGATCCATCGAAGAGAAAGACGAGGTCCACTTTCTTTTTTGTGCACTCTGGAAAAAAAAGAGTGAGGATTAGACAAAATCTTCAGATCAGCAGGAACTATGGAGACACTTATTTTATTCATTTTGTGCATTTTTTACCCTGAAACATTGGCTTAAAGGAGGAGACTTCCTGGAAAGAATCTGAGAAGTTGTAGCACAAACTGTTCATGTAGGTGTTCCCACTACATTCGTGGACCAGACTTGGACTGCAGGCCTACAGCAGAGCAGAGAAGGGGACAGAAACTGGCCGTGAGGGTTTGTTTTTCTGCCATTCGGCCCAGAGAAAGGCTGTTTTTCTTACGGTGAAGTGGGAGTCTGAGGGGTCTGCAGCTATGGAGAGCCCCAGGTGTCTGACTGTGGAGTTCGGAGGGTTTTCTGAAACTGCAGCATTTGACTGGTGTTAGGAAATGCGTTCCATTTGTATATATATATATATATTTATATCTTTTTTAAAGAATATGTTTATTCATTTTCAACTTCACGGTAAGTAGACAAATATCCAATAGGCAATGGCTTAAACAAACCAACAAACCAACAAACAAAAGAAAGAAAAACACACACACACAGCGGCTCAGATACAAATATACAGTCCAACATATGGAGAAAAAAAAATAAAAATAGAAAAAATACAACAGCATAACTTCCTTTATGACTTTTCAGGAAATCTTTTAAACAAAATGGCCGATACATTCGGGTCAAGGTAGTTCAAATAAGGTTTCCATACTTTATAAAATTGTTTTCATTTGGAGTGTATCATACATGTTAAAAAAACTCAAAAACAACTCAAAAAGCACCTTAGGCCAGCCTTTAACAGCTGGGTGTCTGTTATTTATCCACTATTCCATTTGTGTTTGATATATTTGTGGATTTTCTACAGCTGTTTCTGTTTGTAAAGGAGTGAGGAGGGGCTCACCGGTGAAGTTAAACCTCTCCGGGGTCGGACCCAGGACCTGTTTGAAGATGCCTCCTGATCCATTGAGCTGCAGAGGAGCAGTGACGATTATCCTGAGGACCAAACGACAGAGTTTTAAAGGAGCCATATTCTACCCTATTTCAACAAGTTAAGCTAGTCCCCTGGTGTCCTAATGTAATGTCTGTGACAAGCTTTGGTCAGAATCCCATAAGGATGAAGCCCAATAGCAGTTCAGTCCCCCTGCCTAACCCTAACCCTAACCCTAACCCTAACCCTAACCCAAAACAGCCCCGTTCAGAGCGCTCGCTTTGGAGTGCCTGTCTCTTTAAATGCAAATGAGACACAGGCAATCCACCCACTTCTTCAGGGAGGTGTGCCCACGTCGGCACGCTAATGCATGCCCATTTTCGGCCTGTTTCCTGACCGTTTCCCGCCCGTTTTCAGCCCCGTTTCCCGCCTGTTTTCGGCACTTTTCCCCGCCCATTTTCGGCCTGTTTCCCTCCCGTTTTCGGATTGTTTTCTGGCCCATTTTCACCTGCATCGAGATGCGCTTCCACCTGGTGCGGCAGATGAGCTACTACCTGACCGTTTCCCGCCTGTTTTCAGCCCCGTTTCCCGCCTGTTTTCGGGCACTTTTTCCCGCCCATTTTTGGCACGTTTCCCGCCCTTTTTGACCGATTCCCGCCTGTTTTCTGGCTCCTTTTCTGGCCCGTTTTCTTGCCCGTTTTCACCTACCATGCTAACGCTACCATGCTAGGGGTGACACTAGCAGGTCGTCTCCACAGATAGGGGAGTGAGCTGGATAATATATAATAATATTAATATTATAATAATAATAATATTATAATGAGCTAGAGCTAATGACGTCAGAAACTACCCACTCCTGAAACCTCCTGATTTATCTCCTGGATTCAGACAAAAACATGACTGAGTCTTTTTTTTTCACACTTTGCCTGCTGATAGGCCCTCCACAGTCCCAAATGTACAGAATCACATGATTAAAAACCTGGTTTTGCATAATATGTCCCCTTTAAACAACACAAAGTGGATTAGTTGTTGGAAGCTGCGACAGGAAGCATCAAACCACAAACTGATCCAGCTCACAGGAGCTTCCTGTTCCAAAGCTCACCCTTTGCTCCTGGAAGACCTGTGCTGAAGCACTTTATATCCAAAGAAATCCTTCTGTTCCCCAGTGAAGACGTCAGGATTATTCACATCAATGTTGAAGGCTGAGGACACTGAGAGGACCACAGCTGGAAAACAGAAGCCAAACACGTTTCAGGAGAGAAACAGAAGACTAATTACAGAGTATTAACAGATAGGCTTCAAATAGACAAACAGCAGCTCTCAGATTCATTTGTTAGAACATGATATTAATCTGTTTTTTATCTATTTAAATATACATTCAAATGAATTAATGATAAATTAGATATTCTGGATAATCTGTTGAAAACAAAGAAAGCTGCTCCTCCTAAAAACATGTTAAACAGATATCACCCCTCAATATATTCACAGATTCAGCTTAACCCTGATGCATTTAAAACCTGATGTTGAACTACTAACAACAACCCAGACCAGAGAAATTCATTGTTTGTAAGAAATATAGAGCAAGAAGGTTTAACTAAAAATGAAAGAAAAGTAAAGAACGTCATTGTTTCTGTTTATTTCCCGTCATTCCTGAAGAGAAAAGACAGTTTTAGTGTTTGAATACGAAGTTTAAGGTTATTCTGAGAGGAAAAAGAGCCTTTAGCTGCTAATAACGCATAAAGAAACAAAGAATTATGAAAGAATAATCAGAAAATTAGAACAAAGGGGCAAAGATTTACCGGAAACAACCACATTTTGTTTGAAAAATAATCTGAGAAAAACCAGCAGAAGAAGAATAAAAGATTATATTAGTGCAGAGAGACGAAGTTTAAGGTTATTCTGAGAGGAAATTAGCCTTTAGCTGCTAATATTACACAAAGGTGCAAAGAATTAGCAAAGAATTATCATAAAATGAGCACAAAGGGGCAACAATTAACCAGAAACAACCA